TTACACTTTTTTCAGTCTCCTGCAGATACTTCACCGAAAACAGATATGGCACGGGTGACTTCGTCCTACACCGTTATTAAAGCTTCCGATATTCTGGAGGGATATAAGTTCGAAACTTTCAAAAGCCCCCAACTTCGCATATATCTATTCTCCACCATCAGTTGTATGTTGCAACGCTACCTTCATAAAGTGCGCCAAGTGTGATATTGATATTGACATGTTTCTTATGAAATCCATTTACATTCATATCTTATGAAATATCAACCCAGCTGAGTAATTTTCAACAGTGAAAATTGTAACTTCTTTAAGAATTTGATCTTGTCTGTAAACCGGCATGCCTCATGTAACAATCTGTTATTTGAGAATAAATTATTATTATTATTATTTGTTGCTGATCGAGCCTGGCCAACGGATCCGAAGTATCTTGCATAGACAACTGTTAAAAAACACCTGTATCTTCTGGATGATTGTAGATTTGTCATGATGTGACCATCTAATCTATAAGATCTTACGTGAAAGTCACATTTTTTGTCTATTCTGACTCGTCGTATAGTGATAATTTGCAACCCGATGTTCAGCACTTTCGAAGAACACATTTTGGCAGGAGATAAAATGATATATTTATTTTGGGGAGGTACAGGTTACACAAAATGACAACGCCCGCAAAGTTGAGTCATGTCACCTCCATTCATTTTTCATGCTATCACCATTGCCGACGCTTTCTCAGTGTTAAATGCTGAATATGAATTTTCTCAGTTATCTCATTTTCAGCTCTAGAAATAGTGTGGTTATAACCAATACCACTACAGGTATATTTACAAGCTTCATATTTGGAGGACTAATATTGACTTACAAGCCATCCTACTTTGTCGTCTGATTCTTGTCTTTGAATGGGATTTTCATCCTAATCGATGGTACACATGCCCATTCAATCATTAACAGTTTTCATTGGTATCATTTTGAAAACATGGTGTTTTCCTCTGCACTCCGAAGAAATATGACTGCCGTTGAGTGTGTTCGAATGCGAATAGAGAAATCAGTTCTCAGGCCTGCATACAGATCTCACAACCTTTTGACCAAAGAGCACAGTGAGCTCAAAGGTGGAATTTTAACGATTTAAAAAATTCCTGAAGCCCGTAGGAATCTTACGAAACACTTGCCTAAGCGCATTTACTACACGAACTTAATAGGAAATACTTGGAATTTGAAGTACAATACTTTAAACTGGGATGCAGACAACTACTCCTTAAAATTAGTCAGGTCTTGAAACTCACTACAGGTTGAAACGGCTTTCACAATTTTTTGAAGTCATTCAAGAAGATAACTGATATCTATCACATGTCGGAGCATCACATGCATATACCGTTCATTCATACACGTACTACTTTACCTTAACTGGTTTCACATACCTAGGTCTGTACGCACAGTAATCTTCATTACAGCTTGACACATAGGCTCGTCAACTTAATGCTTCTATCAGGTTCACAGCTACTTGAACTATTTAATGTAAATAGGATGGCATGCAGTGCGACAACTGCGAAGGTTGGTTCCACGAAGCGTACACAGATCTCACGGCAACTGCCTACAACAGACTCAGCAAGTCGGGCCTTAGGTGGGTATGTTCTATGTACAATAGGGGCGCTGTAGTTTTGCTGTGTAACATCATTGCCCTATTGACAGGTCTGCGGAACAAGTTGTCTGGAAATGGCAGTCATACAACGGGTAGACAAAAAAGGACACGCAGTGCAAACAAGAAGGGGGATATCTACGCGTCTACTATCGATGGAGCTATAATAGAGCTAGTGATGGCATGCCGAAATTCAGCACCATCATATAGTCAACCGTAATAGGCCAGCTTAGCAAACTTGTGTCTCCTAGCACAGAGTCCTTGAATGTTATTGTGGTTCCCCAAAACTCTGTTGGTGGTTGAGCCCACGTTAACAGAGTCAAATAGATCAGGCGTCACCGCCTAAGCTGAACATCCCAAGAATTGTACGGAGATCAACTGATAACTTGGCCACACAGTCTGCCCTCAAAAATGCCCTTCCGGTCATCAAAGAGCTTAGGAATCGGAAACGCGCTTCGACCTCCAAACAACAAGATGCCGGACCTGAACTTAGTGGAGAAACTTACCAATGCTATTAATGCTCATCTGATAAGAATATCTGAAACTTGGATATCTTCTCAGTTTACGGACCAGGAGCTAGCAATATCTGGGGTGTCTTTGTTTCGCAACGACAGAAAAACATGATTGAGGGGGATAGCCTTATACATGCGATTATGCCTGGAGGTACACCAAGTTCAAAACCAAGAGTTTTTCAATTTTAATGAATCCTTATGGTGTTCAGTAAAATTATCTACCACCTCGAAATGTCTAGTTGGGGTCATTACAGGAAGCCCACTGCTGACATCGAGTACGACAATCGTATATCGGAAGGATTAACCCACTCTATGTGCCTCGGATTCTCTCACATCCTGATCCTATGAGATTTCAATCTTCCTAGAGTCAATTTCGTGGAACATACCTATATTGGAAGTGAAAACTCAAGTGAAGCTCGGTTATTCAACCTCATGGAGGATCTGGGATTATTCGAAATGCGAAGTCGGCAACTTGTTGGAGAAACAGTCAGACGCGTCGCACTTAGACTGGGTATTTACAAACGAAGACTTCCTAAATGACAGCCTCTTAATTCTGGCTCCCCTGGGAAAAAGCGATCGCGCCATTATATCCTTCAGTTTTGTCAGCAAAACTGAGCTAAGATATCTCACCACCAACAGGCGCTGGAATTTCAAGCGATTGAACGTGCAAGCTTTAAAGTATTATCTACAATAGGTGGATTGGGGTGTTCACCATCAACTTGAAGTGGATGCTCATTGGGATTTCTTACTGTACACGCTTTTATGTGCTACTAAGCATTCAGTTCCTCAAACAGTCCCCAAAAGCTAAAATAAACCTACTATCATCAGGAACTTCACTCTTCGTTTGCTAAGCCACAAAAGACACCGTTGTGCTGAATACAAACGAACTGATAACAACGGCGCGTACAGGCAATACGAACGTTTAAGGAAGATGTGCACAAAGCCAATAAGAGAAGACAGGCTTCAGTACCAGACCAAGCTTATCGATAAATTTATCTTCAATCCGAAAAGCCTATTCCGTTATGCATTTCTGTCCGACAAGCAAAAACTGGAGTTTCCAAACTGCTAGGTCCTAATGGTCCGATCAATAACGACGGGGATGCCACTAACCTCTTGGCTGAACAATACTCTCTGACATTTCAACCGACGCACATAAACTACACTAATGTAACCTTCATCTGCAACTGCACAGGACTTTCCGAAGTGAACGTGAGCGCTGACCTGGTGTTCCGTAAAATGCAGCACCTAAGAAAAGACACTTCTCCTGGTTCGGATATGGTTCATCCTGCTATACTGAAAGAAACAGTTTCAATCCTGGCAACATCTCTTAGCGTGATGTTCTCACACTCGTTAAGTCGAGGCACATTACAGGGAATTCAGTGTCTGGCTCACATCACACCAATTTTCGAAGGAGGTCGACGCAGCGAAGCTTCAAGCTACTGGTCGGTGGTCCTAGTCTCTATACCTTCTAAAATTATGGAGTCCCTGATATGCGATGGTGTACACGACTACTTATTATCCTTAAAGTCCTTGTCACCCCAAAAACACGGTTTCAGAAACGGTCATTCTTGTATGGCCAACCTGCTGACTGCGGTGGATAGATGGACAACCAACCTTGATCCCAAGGGGAAGGTTGACATCATTTACCTGGATTTCTCAAAAGCTTTTGATAGGGTTAACCATATATGTCTTATCAACACGCCTAAACGATTAAGTATCAAACCACCTCTAATTGACTGGCTCACTTGATATTTAAAAAATCGAAAATTTAAGGTCGCGGTTAATTCCACTTTCTCTCAGGCTATGGAATGTCCTAGTGAGGTCCTCCAGGGCTCAATACTAGGATTTCTTCTTTTCCTGACTTATATAAACGATCTTCCACAGCGAGTATCGTCTGATTTATTGCTTTTTGCTGATGATGTGAAACTTTGGAGAGAGATATGCAACCAAGGGGATATGCTAGTACTTCATGAGGATATGACTCGACTTCAAAATTGGGCAGACGACAACAGACTTATCTTCAACACTTCCAAGTGTAAAGTAGTCCATCTGCGACATGATGCAGACTACAGTTACAACTTATGAAACTCCTCGCAAGAAGTAACTCAAGTCAAAAAGATTTAGGAGTGTTGGTGCCCTATGACTTGAAGTCGCTAACTGTGACGAAAACGCCTTTCGAGAAAACCATGCACTGGCAACAGTGAAGCGCATTTTTGGCCAATTTGACGAAAGAACTTTCCACATAATCTTCAACAGTTTTATTCGTCCCCATTTAGAGTACGGAAACATAGTATTTCCTCCCTCTCTTCAAAAGGATGAGGACACTCCGGAGAGTATCCAACTTCGAGCCAAGAAATCAGTTCGGGGACTCAAATTCAAACATAATGAAGATCGCCTCCAGTCACCTAACCTTTACCTGTCAGAGTATAGGCGTCTTAGAGGTGACTTTCTCATGGCTCACAGTATCCTTAACACTCTCCTTAAACATCTACTTAAGCTTAGTCACAATACTATCGTAAGGGATAACACCCAGAAACTGGAGACCCGACATAGCAGAACGGACTGTAGACACAGCTTGTACTCCTTAAGAGTTGTCAAATGCTAAAATTTTCTGCCAAATGAGTTAGTTCAAGCGACTTCTCAGTAGTCTTTTAAGAGGAAACGATCTATTCTTAAGGACAAAGGATAATATCTTACTATGATTTACCAATTTCTTTTTTTCCTATTATCATTATTATACCTAGGTTCCTGCCTGAAAGTATTGGTGATCCACTGCTACTAGACACGGAAGCCCGTTAAGCGAAAACTTCTATTCCGTCCACAACCATTTGAACTACTTGTTTGAAGGTCATACGCGCGATGTTTTGAAACTATGACGGTACGTGCACGCTATGCGATGACTTCGGCTGTTTTAACTTTTCGGTTTGCAGGCAATAGGCCTAGAGAGAAGGCTATTCCTTTTTCATAAGGCTTCTGTGTTCCTTCTGTCGGGCGATAAAACCTGGTGGGTATCTGCTACTTCCCGTCAATATATCCGATGGATTGAATACTCAGTCCACACTGTTGTTTGAGACCGTCCATGTAACAATCCTTTGGTCCCAACCAAATCTAAGTCTCATTTCAAACGGTGTTTTAAAATCTTAACTAGTACAGTGTGAAATTCAGTGTAAAGCATGGTTTTTTTCTATCCGTTCACCAGCTATAATGCTACTCATATTTTCTTTATACTCCGACTCATATATGAGGTTTTCTGACCATGCGATAAGTGAGCATACTTGCATAAATGTCTTTGAATCCTGAAACTATGAAGCTAAACCGTCCACTTGATATTCATGGATCAAATCTTGTTTGGTTCGGAGAAACTAGCATTATTTCAATCGAATGGTAATGTCCATCAGTGGAGTTTGGAGACTTATCTGCAGAAAAGTCATACATTGCTAATCCAAACCTTCAACCCATACCATCTTCGATTTGCTCAGTCGAACGTAAACTAGTCTTATCAAAAAGTGCGATCTGATTTCAACTACACCCCGCAGCTTGACAAGTAAATCACATTACTGCTGTGCATAGTTGAGTAACGTATGCCCCGGTAATAATGTTCCGTTAATGTTTCTGCTAAATGAAGGGCAATTTAAATCGTGTGACATGTTAAGATTACTCATTGGTATTTAGAAGAAATGGTGTTCTGCAAAGTAAACCGTTATGGTAATTATGATATTTTCTCAAACGATGTACAACTCATGAAGTCAGATTTCTCTCTTATCTGCACTTTGTAGGTGGTTTTTATTTCATGTAAACAGCTACTCTCCTTCCGATTCTATTGACAAGTCGGTTTTCTTTTTACTCGTCGACTATCAGACAGAATTTCCGAGTCCTATTTAATTCTCTCTGTTCTAGATAGGCTCTTACAGAGATTGATTCTTGAAGCTCAGTGCACTTAGTAGGTACAGATTTACGTTTCTAGATAAATCCGCAAAATTCATAAAGTACAGCTAGGGGCGGCCAGATTAAAACATGACACAATTCCATGAATTCACTGACGAGTGAACTGAGCCATGTTGATAGATGTAGACTACCTGGTTGGGATCCGCAAGGTGATAGTAACCGATGGTTAGAGACCTTGAATGACATGGCTCAAAATCGTTTGAAATGGCGAAGGTGCATCCACTCATTGTGTTCTCCTAAATTCTTCATGTCCCTTTCTATTTTTCTGGTTCCAAATTTGTTTCACCGGATTATACTTTTTGAATAACATCTTCAAACCCTAATCTTTCTGGGTGTGGCCCCCTAAGAAAACCACCTGCTTCAATTTGGGCATCTGGGCAGTATCACAGCCCTCACACAAATCCAATGAGATTTGTGTGGCGCACATATACCTATTGTCTTGTACCAATATTTATGCGTTTAAATAAAAAAAACTTTCTGATTACTGATTATACTCTTACTACTTTTACCACTATGAGATTTGAATGGACAATTACATCTCTGTGCTAATGTGGTATGGCAACCCAAATTGATGTGCGTACGTACCAAGTTGTATGTTGTGACTGACTGATAAAATGCAACCATTTTTTAGGGTGGTGATATTTTATTCCATTCATCATAAAATACAGTATCAAATATTGCGTATCTAACTCTTCGATTGCAGTTAGATCAATTAAACTGATTGTTTGAATTTATTAACTAAATGCAAAGGACATTCAGGATAACAGTCAAAGTAGAGAAAGTTGATTAAAACCTACATAGATAGCATAACTGACTCATCAACCGGAATTGAGTTTTTATGTTACGAAAGCTTCACTCATGATAAGTTTTGTTTCTATTTAAACGCAAATACTGGCACAAGGAGGCATCAAATCTATACACGCCCCGCATCATTCGATTTGTGTGAGGGCTGGGATAATTCTCGCGCGCTTAAACCGAAGTAGGTAATTAAATCACATAGGATAAGTTAATTTACCCAACTTGTCTTTTGACAAGTACACCCTTAATCCGTTTAAAGTAACAATACCAAAGCCATAATTTGATTGTAGTTTTTCCATTAAAAGTATTTCATTTCGTAGCGCACATTTTTATGATGCCTTTTTGCTTTTCAGAAGGTCTATATTCTGTATGAGCACGCGTTAGGATATGCTCTGTTCAGAGTTAAAATCAAGTCAGTAGAAACTTCAAATCTTGTTACTGCGTTACAACAGTTAGCTGCAGATCTTTTGAACAATGAAGAAGAGTTCATGAAATGCTTTAAATTGCATGCATTTGTGCCTTTCTCTTCCTCAGCTAGTGCTCTACAAAATTGTAATGGGATATCAGAAGGCGTTGTTCCACAGGAACTTAAAACGTTCATAGAGGAGAATTTACCTGCTTCTTCAGATGTTTTGCTGTGCATCTCAGACCGGAAACTCGCTGAATCTCTTAAAGCGCCTGAAATCGGATTGCCAGAAACTATTTCATTTTCTTCTGAATCCATCCTTCATGAAGTCTACCGGGCTCTCCGATTTTACTTTCCTAAATATATCAAAGAGTTTTCTCATTTCGATGAATCAAAAGCTCAAATAGGTTTGGGTCATAGTTATTCTAGAGCTAAAGTGAAATTCAATATATACAGGTTTGTTTATTTTTATCATTTACTCATCTACTTGTTTAGAAATGACAATATGATTATTCAATCCATAAATTTACTAGACCAATTAGATAAAGATGTAAATAACTTTTGCATGCGTGTCAAAGAATGGTTCTCATATCATTTCCCAGAATTGTCAAAAATTGTTCCTGACAATCCAACTTTCGTTAAAGTAGTCGGTCTTATTCGCACCCGAGCTGGTGCAACAGAAGAAAATCTTGATGCATTGGAGGCCTTAACTAATAGTCAAGTTGCTTCAGATATCATTGAATCTGCCAAGTCATCCGTTGGTATGTTGACACTGTTTTTCTGATTTTGATTGCATGTAGGCTTTGATATTACGGATGATGATGCTGAAAATTTGGCAACATTCACTGAGAAAATTAACGCATTAATTGAACGTAGAAGACTAACACAAGAATATTTAGCTAAGAAGCTTGCTGGTGTTGCTCCAAACTTGAGCACAATGATTGGGGATAGAGTAAGTGCAAGGCTAATTGCTCATGCGGGATCGCTTACGAACTTGGCTAAATTCCCTGCCTCGACAATTCAGATATTGGGGGCGGAAAAAGCGTTATTCAGAGCATTACGATCTCGTGGTGCTACACCAAAGTACGGATTGATTTATCATAGTCCATTTATCGCTCGTGCTGCGCGAGAAAACAAAGGAAAAATCTCCAGATTTTTGGCTGCAAAATGTGCTATAGCCTCTCGGATCGACTGCTTTAGTGAAGTGCTTTGTGATATCTATGGGAGACATTTGAAGCAACAAATTGAGGATAGATTGAATTATTTTGAAACTGGCACTACGCCTCCTACAAATGCTGAAGCTATGGCGCGCGCAATTGCTGAAGTAAGTATACTAGTCTTTAACTATTTAATCAACTGTTAGTTAATCTTACTCCCGTTGATGTAGCAGAGAAAGATTACTTTGAGTACGTTGGTCAAGCGTCACTCATTTGTTTACTTACTAAATTTCATAGAATATAAACTTATAGTTTCATGCACTTGCCCATAAAATGTTCTAAGAATCATCAGCGAAACCAAAATGTCCGTACCGATGAATAGTCCATTTTACTCGACGTGTTTCGTTCTATAGTTGCAAGAATAACTGTCCAACTCTAAAAGTTTGGTCAGCTTTTACCAACTTGTATCACCTGTGGCATAGGCAAGATGTCTGTCTGCATATCAAAAGACGACTGTAATGCTCAGCAATTCGTTCTGTTCTATTTTATTGTTGTGAAACGTAACTTTTAAAAGTTGACGTGGCTCAAAATCAGTGAAAGTGGGCCAGATGTGTCCAATATATGTCTTCCATTAGATCTCGAGTCTTAAAATTATCTTATAGTTCTTGTTTTTTGTCCCACGAATTCATTTTTGAAAAATATTACCACCCATTTTTACTGTTACTACTTCTCTGACATTTGTCCTGATAATTTCATCTCTCTGTGTTGGTATTGTGTGGTGGCTTGAGCCGATCCATATATTTGCCAGTTTCTGTTTGGCTTATAACTGACTGATAGTTGTTCATCGTTGTAACCTCATGTATGATAGATTACTTTCTTGATTTATTGATGGATTATTAAATTCGGATTGTTCGTTCGTGTTAGACTTATCTCGATTTTTCGCAAAAGGACAATTACCGTATGCTCATACTAAGTCTCCCAGTTAGTCGCAACGTAGAACCTAGTATATGTGTACATCAGTTCTAGTTGCCATACTCCATTTTTCAGAAAAATGAAGTCGTCAGTCAAGATTCCAGAATGGTAGAAGTGCTAACAGTATGTGTGGTGATAGAAAGTCTGACCACTGGTTAAGGTAATCATGCAGACCCAAAGCAGGTAGTCTACACCTATTAACATGGCTCAGTGCAATTGTCAAAGACTTCATAGACGGATGTAGGTAGATATCTCGCATACACCACAAGTGACCCAAGTTAACACAAGCCAATTGAGTCCCGAGTTCATGCCGAGATTTCGTCAGACATCAGATCATTAGAACTGATGAGATTTCCAATATAGCTGAGGCAATCGATACGCTCAACTACCTCACTCTCGACCATTATTTCAGGCTCTGACGAAAGTCAATCTTAAAGCAACATTTTACATTTGGAAAGAGAACTGCATCCCAAACATGTTTGCATTATTGCTTAAAGCAGTCATAACAAAACATTTTGTTAGAATTTTCACGAGATTGAACTATATCATCTGTGTATTCTAAGTCAACAATTGAATTTTCCGATAGGAGATCAATCCATGAAAAGTTTGACAATAAAAGTTTTATATCTAAAAGTATGTATATAGCGAAGTTAAAAAATAAGGGTAACGGACAATCCTGACGAACACCACTTGAATTAAGCAATTCTGATGACAGTAATTGAGGTGTGGCTGAAGGCCAAATGAACTGTTCCCTAAAAAATACTCCCCCTCAGTCCAATCTCTTGGATTAAGTGTATATAATAGTCCCATCTTTTTCCGAAATAGTTTCATCAACAGCCGGATTTTTAATATCCCTTTCCTTGATAAGTTAGAACAGTTGTATACTGTTACCTATCGCTGCTACCTTTTTCATCTCTGCTTTCGCTACACACCGCTGCTCACAATCATTGCATAGGCTTTTTATTTTTTTATTTAAACACATAAATATTGGTACAAGGAAGCACCAGATAAATATGCGCCTCACAAATCTCATTCGATTTGTGTGAGGGCTGTGATACTGCTCTGGTGCCCAGACTGAAGCAGCTGGTTTTCTTATGGGGGCCACACCCGGAGCCTTTGACCTGAAGGTCTAGTCCACAAGGCAGTGGAGCATCGTGAGGAGATGCAGTCCCACGATAGCCGGTGACCAACGATTGGTTCCCTGACAGGCTATATATTCGCTGGCTATATGAGAGCATTTCGAGAGGGAGAGGTGACTCTCCACACTCTCGGCCGTACCAAGGCATTTGGGAGCAGGCTTTTTATTAGCCTACGTTTAAGCTGTCTTCACTCCTTATTGTGCATGAAGCCAGGAAGGATAAGTTTCTTAGCACCTATCAGTTCAGTGGGTGCCCCTCGTACAGAACCAATCCTAAAATGTACTAAAAAGAAGAAAAACTAAATCAATAAAACTTCGTAGGTCAAAGTTGTTCTGTCTTCGCTTTCACTACATAATCTGAATTTACTGGCTCTGTTTCTGTACATTTATCACGTTATCAACTGACACTCCACTTGAATTCCTACTTCTCCAAACCCATCAGAAAACCAGAGCAGCCACAAGTATTTTCATCGTAGGTACGCACTTCTAAGAAGTTTCACATTTGAACGAAACAACCGTCCATTATTTATTAGTTCTCAACGGTTTTCCAACTGAGATCAATCTGTGACGAATACAGCCTACAAATCAAAATCAATCTCCACAAAACTCCTTAAAGTAAGCAATAGTGATTTTATGTTCATTAGTGACCACCTTTATAGAGAGCCCCCTAAAGATTAACGGCAGTGGAGTTACACTATGTCAAATATATGAGATAGCTATCATCGATGAACTGGCATGATAGTCACATTGTGTTACAAACTGACTGGAGCTGAAAATGTAAACCTCGTTGTGTTCCAATTCAGAGGTCTATAAGCATCATGCTCACCGCAAAACTCGGAGATCCTGGGTTACTGAAAACATTGAGGATTGTTGCGAACCTTTGGAATAGAGAAAGATAGCTTTTTTGCACTATGTAGTTATCAATGGTTCTCTCATTGACTTTTTATGTCGTTAATGAACGTTCCAACATTATTGTATAACCTCGGTTTTCTATAATCATCTATCGTCTATCAGTATCAATGTGTGAGATCTGATATTCAATAGTATTTGACTGTAGATTTTGTATTCAGACGATTCAGTTCTATCATTGTTTTCCTTTGGATTAAGGTAAATAAATATATTCAACGAACAAAGAAAAAAGCGATTAAAACATTGAATAAAAGAGATTCAGATAGTCAAGAAGAAGCAGCTGTAACCACAATGGAAACACCTATATCAGATGGTAAAAAGAAGCGTAAGAAAAAACGTCATTTAAATGGGAACATCACTACTACTGATACCAATACTACTGTTGTAGATGGTGTTTTGAATGATCATAATGAAGTAATCAATCTTGATGAAGGTGAATTAGATCAACAATCAACTGAAATAAATCAATATCAGTTATTAAATGATGACAAAGAAGAGAAAAGTATAATAGGGAAGAAAAAGAAAAAACGTCATCATTCAGAATCGATTGAGATCGTAGAAAATTCAATGTTAGTAAATGGTAATAGTATTTGTGTAGAAACGATGGAAACACCAATATCATGTAAACGTAAACGATCAGCTTCTGAGTCAAGTATACTTTTAGAAGATATTAAACCGGATAGTTTAAAAAAGAAGAAAAGAAAAAAATGTTATATAATGTTGGATTAATTTACATTTCATAACTGTGTAAAAGAAGACCATCTATTGTAAATAATAGTATCTACGGTTATTATTTTTTTTTTGTGTGGAATACAAAATATGTTTGTGAATCTCTTATTCTTCTATCTTTACATTGGTTACTAATTCATAATGATAATAATAATGCACTTGGATATCTACTACATTCCACCATACATCTGTCTGTCAGTAGTCTTAATAAATATAGGACGTGATACAAATATATGTTAATTTACAAGTTACTATTTAAACTGGAGCCCCCAAATGCCCTGGTAGGGAGAGTCCGTTCTCCCTCTCGAAATGCTCTCACATGGCCACGTGTATATAACCTCTGCTAGGGAAGTCTTATTCACTGCCTTCTCGTGGTGGGGGTGTTGTTTACAAAATTGGGAGGACGAAAAGTGAATGTCCGGTGCTTTAACCGGGTAGGTGGATATGGAGGATCCACCTAGGGGAGTTGGAAAACCCTAATTTCAAACCAATGGTGAACATGGGCTTCAGTATCCTGATGGAACGAATGGCGTATGAACCAATTGTTGGTTATTATTTATTTATTTATTTAATCACATATATATTGGTACAAAGGTCACCGGATACATGTGCGCCACACAAAATAATGAGAATGGGAGAAGGAGGAAGATGCGTATATATAAAGGAAGGAAAAAAAAGAAAAGGAGAAGAGTAATGATGGGGGGAACTGAATGTACAACCAGAAGAGCTCTCTCACTTAGGAAAGTTATAGCCACTCTTTATGAAGAAAGCAGAAGAAGGTTACAGCAGGCACGCCACTGGCTTCTATTCTGAGCCATATCTGATAACACCTCTAGCCACTGTGTTGTACCATCTGTCGGACCCCAACCAGGGAGTGGTGAAGGACCAACGGAAGCTAGCCCTTTGCAGCTTTCTTTCATGCCACGACACCATGTCATACACTGACCTCCTCTCCGCTTTTTCCAACCAGTCCCAGGGTCGGCAAATAATGCACGGCGTAGAAATCTCTGGGACGGCATTCGTAAAACATGTCCAAGCCACCGAAGTCGGTGTTTCAAGACAGTGACACCAATTGAATTATCGTCATTGTGCCTGAACACACGATGCCGAACCTCTGTATTACTAACATAATGTTGTCACTGGATGTCAGCAATCTTTCGGAGACAACGATGATCGAACACAGAGTCTTCTAACATCCTCAACTCGGAGATGTCAGGTTTCACAAGCATAGAGCAAAACTGCTCTCACTGACGTGTTGTAGATCCGACCTTTTACAGCCAGACTAGCATCACGAAGGCGCCAAAGATGGCCGAGATTGGCATGAGTCGCTCTGGCTTTCATTATACGTGCATCAATCTCATCACTCACGCCCCCACCAGCAGTTATGTAGCTACCTAGATACACGAACTTCTCAACTACTTCAATCTGCTCACCATCTAGGGTGAGTGCAGGATGAGAATCCTGCCAGTCTTGTAGGAGTACTTTGCACTTGGAGGGTGCAAAGCACATGCCGTACCTGCGGACACTGATTGCCAACTGATTAAGTGCGGATTGCATGGTTTGTGCATTATCGCACAGTAAGACAATATCATCCGCATACTCGAGATCGAGAAGTCGTTCTCCAGGCAACATATCCACACCGCCATTACTTACATCCATCAGAGCTGTTTCAAGGATGTCGTCGATGGCAAAGTTGAAGAGGAATGGTGATATTAGGCAACCTTGCTTAACCCCGCTGCTCGAATGGAACAAGGGAGAAAGGTGGTTGTATGCCTTCACTCTGCCTGAGGTATTCGTATACAGGGCCTTTAAGATGTTAATGAACTTCTCAGGCACACCCTTCTTCAATAGACAATCCCAGAGAACAGTCCTGTCCAACGAATCGAAGGCAGCCCTGATATCAAGAAACACTAGGATTGTTGGCCTGCGATAAGTATGATGGTGTTTTAACATTTGGCGGAGGGTGATCAATGCATCCTCAACCAGAACGAAAACCAGTCTGCTCCTCGCGAGTCAGTCGTTCTCGGGTTTTAAACAACCTACGAAGAATGACAGAAGCCAATAGTTTGGACGCAATTGGAAGTAGACTTATCCCCCGGTAGTTATTGCAGGAACAACGTGAACCCTTTTTAAAGATAGGGACGACTATTGACTCATTCCATGATGTTGGAACACTTTCTTGCTCCCAAACCTTTGCAAACAACGCCGTCAGTTCCTTAGCCAGAAAGTCACCACCATCTTTAAAAAGAGCCGGAGGTAGGTTATCTGGGCCAGGTGATTTGTAGCGCTTAGAGAGTTGGAGTTCCTTACGGACTTCCGCCTCGTTTGGTGGATCAGTCGTCACTGGCCATGGGGGGCAGGAGAAGCTGGTTGATGTTGCCGGAGCAGCAGGCCAGTTGAACTGCCCTTCGAAGAATTCCGCCCATCGTCCAAGACGTCGAGAGATGTTAGTGATTGGCATCCTATCATCCTCGTAGATTGTTTCACTCACACCAGACTTCTTGCTGCCAGTGGCTCGAATGAGTTGGGAGAGCTTTCAGCAGTTACCAGATGCAGCTGCTGCTTCCATCTCATTAGCACGCTCCGACCACCAGGCCTCTCGATCCTTACGCAAGCTTTGTCCAATTTCATTACGTAACAGCCTTCGTTTGTGGTCAAACTCACGGTCACCCGGAGTAGACCGACGGGCTTCCATCAGTTGTAAGAAGCCAGAAGAAACCCAGTGCTTGTAAGCGGGACGTTTCGCGAAGCCGCAAGCGACTTTACTCGCCATTTTCATGGCGTCGTGAAGATGCAACCAATGCTCATTTATACTTTTCGGTGGGATGGTAGCTAGCCTAGAAGCTAGCTCCGCTCGATACTTACTTGCAACAGAAGTTGCAGCCAGTTTACTAACATCGATCCGTTGGTGGTGGTCAATCCTTCGGCCACTGAAAAGTAAGGTGAGATTGGCGCAGACCAGGGCATGATCAGACTCCAGATAGGTACTCCAAAAGGAGCGGCAGTCTTGTACACAACCACGCCAGCGGTAGCTGATCGCAATGTGCTCAATCTAAGTCCAGGCTTGGGATGCAGAGGGAGGACGCCAGGTGGCACACCGGCGATGACTGTGCCGGAAGTTAGTGCTGGCCAGAAACAGGTTGTGGTCTGTGCACAGTTGCAGCAAACGGTCCCCGTTATCTGTCCTGCGACCAACAAGTCCCCATCGGCCACCTAAACGACTCTTCTGTGCCTAGACGCCCGACCTGTGCATTCAAGTCTCCGGCTAGTACTACAATATCTGTCGAACGCGCTTTCTGGAGAAGAAATGTTAACTGGTGGTAGAACTCATCCTTGATTGCATCCGAGCTGCAATTTGTCGGGGCATAGGCGGGGATGACGAAAAGACACCGTTTCTCACGCCGGTTTCTTCTCACTTCGATGGAACTTTCTAATCTAACAGCACATAACCGACTGTTAGTGGGGATCCAGTCGATTAGTGCTGCCTCAGCTCTAGCGCTTAGTGCGACACCAACGCCAGCAAGACTAGACGAAGATGCCACAGAGTCCCTGGATAAGCGCACGTGAAACAAGCTTTTCGAGGCCGCAGATGGAGAGCGGATTTGTAGTACTTTACTAGAGTCTTGAATACGGGTCTCGGATAGACAACAAACGTCAACATTAAGACCTTCCAAAGACATAGCCAGCCCTATCTGTTGTCTGATCCGCATTAGTGTGCGAACGTTGAAGGAAGCCAGCTTGAACAGCGTACGTGGTTTCAGAAAGACTGCTTCAGTATTCATAATCGGTGAAAGCATTCACTTTCAACCAGACAGTGACTGGAGATCGTTTAGATAGGACATATTTTCCACCAAGAGCGAGCTGCTGCATAAGTTGAAAAGTAAGGTTACACAAATTGGGGACAAAAGGGGGTGAATTAGCGATATGGTAAATAATAATAATAGTAATAATGCAAATTGAATTGTTTCTAGTATGAACGAGAATATAATTGTCAGCTGAATGTTCCATTTCATTTATTTGCGAGAGGGCTGTGATACTGCCCGGGTGCCCAAACCGAAGCAGGTGGTCTTCTTAGGGGGCCACACCCGGAGCCTTTGACCTAGAGGTCTAATCCACAAGGCAGTGGAGCATCGTGAGGAGATGCAGTCCCATGGTAGCCGGTGACCAACAACAGGTTCATTCGCCATTCGTTCCATCAGGATACTGGAGCCCATGTGCACCATTGGTTTGGAATCAGGGTTTTCCAACTCCCCTAGGTGGACCCTCCGTGTCCACCAACCCGGTTATAGCGCCGGACATTCGCTTTTCGTCCTCTTACTCTTGTAAGCAACACCCCAGCCACGAGAAGGCAGTGAGTAGGACTTCCCTGACAGAAACTATATATTCGCGTGGCCATGTGAGAGCATTTCGAGAGGGAGGGCAGACTGTCCTCTCTCTCGGCCGTACCAAGGCATTTGGGGCAATTGTTGGTCACTGGCTACCATGGACTGCATCTCCTCACGATGCTCCACTGCCTTATGGATCAGATCTTTAGGTCAAAGGCTCCGGGTGTGGTTGTCTAAGAAAACCACCTGCTTCGGTCTGGGAACCTGGGCAGCATCACAGCCCTCACACAAATCAAATGAGATTTGTGAGGCGCATTTTTATCTGATGCTTCCTTGTACCAATATTTATGTGCTTAAATAAATAAATAAATTTAGACTGGAACGATGAAACGGAATCGACAAAATGAGTCGAAATAATCTTATAATAAAAATGATAGTAAGAAAGTTTAAACATTCATAATATAGTTTGAGAAAACAGTGAGAAAAATGTATGTATGTGTTATATCTTGTGGCCAAGTGGATGCCCAGTTAATGTATGACGTGATAAGACCGCCAATCAGAGAGCAGCGAATTATTGATTGGAACAGTGACACACGGAAACCGTACGAGCAATCTAGAGTACGTATCGGTCCTGCTTTCTGCCCAGTCCAACCAGTTAAGTCCAGAACACCAATAACAACCTCTGGTATGAATCATCGTATTTCAAGAATACTGAGTTTATGTACTAAACAGACTGACCACATCGTACCAATAAAATAGAAAATAACATTTGTA